CTTAGCAGGAACCGAACCCGGGTCTCTCTGGTTTGCAGGCCGACGCTCTAACCACTGAGCAACTGGCCAGGGCTCATAGCTTCATTCTTTACACGGAAATATTTGCTACAATAATCTATTCTGCATATTAAATTGTTGGTATATTTAAAATAATTTAAACTTTGAAAAGAATGCGAGAACCAGAAAAAGAGAGGCAGTGTCATCTGCAAATCTACTTGCCATAATAAATAAATATATAGCCCAGCCTGGCTGGTGTGGCTCAGTGGTTGAGCGTGACCCACACACCAAGAGGTCACCAGTTCGATTCCTGGTCAGGACACATGCCCTGGTTGTGGGCCCGATCCCCAGTGGGGGGTGTGCAGGAGGCAGCCCATCGATGTTCTCTCTCATCCATGTTTCTATCTCTCCCTCTCCCTTCCTCTCTAATATCAATAAAAAATTATTTATATATATAAAAACACTTCATTGTCATGATTCCTGGGAAATTTAGGTTCTTTTCACAATCTCGGTCACCCAGTCACTTCTAGCATTCAGCTGTCCCTACCTCCTCTGCTTGCGAACACTCCCCAGACCTCACTAACGCGGGAGGTCAGGCTCACCTTCTGTGGTCCCTCCCATTCATTCTGTGGTCAAGAATGAAGACCAGAGAGCGCACAATCCTTCTTTAAGTGTGAGGGACGTTTTTGCAGGCAAGGAGGCCACGGACGCCCCACTGACCTCGCACATGAGTGTGCCACGGTGAGAGGGGGCGCCGGCCAGTGGAGTTGAGAAGATGAGGCCGAGTTTATACAGAAAAAACACACCGCAGGGCTGGATGCTCGATGAACCAGAGCTGAGAAATGGCTGCGGCACATCCTCCTTAGCTCAGTGTCACCCGAAGATAGACTCCCAAACCGGAAGGCACCGAGGTGCTCCCGTAAAACAGCAGGACTGCAGAGATGGTACGTGAACCCAGCTTCCCCTCCAAGGGCTCCTCAGTCTCCGCTCTGGGGAGCACCTGGACCCAGTTTCAAAAGTTAAGGGGGTAGAAGAGAGAGAAAGAGGACTCTGTGTGTGTGTGCGTGTGAATGTATGCCTAGTAGAAAGTTCTGTGTTCTCTTTCTCAAAAAACAATCACTGTCCAGCATTAACTAGCTTTAGAAAGACACTGCAGAAACTGCTTCCAGACAACATGCTAGTCTCCTTCACCCCCGTCCTGGTTTCCAGGGCAGAAGGCCGGGATGGCCATGGCTGCAGCCGCTCCAGCGTGCACTGAGCCTGCAGGCTGTCCGGGGCCTGGGTGCGGAAACTGACATCTTTGCAAGGTCATTCGTTCCTGTGTTTGAAGAAGTCGGTACTCATGGGTCAATCAGCAAGCATTAACATTTCACCGAACTTTATCTAATGGTGTGAAATGCACAGATAACAACATCGAAAATGCAAAAACAGCCCTGGCCGGTTTGGCTCAGCGGTTAGAGCGTCGGCCTGCGGTCCTGAGAGACCCGGGTTCGGTTCCCGCTAAGGGCATGTACCTCGGTTGCAGTTTGTCCCCGGCCCTGGTCGGTTGTGCGGGTGGCAACCACTCGATGTGTCCCTTCACATCGATGTTTCTCTCTCTCTCTCTGTTCCTCTCTCTCCCTCCCACTCTACCTGAACAAAAAATGGAAAAATGTCCTCGGCTGAGGATAAAAAAAAAAAAAAAGAAAAGAAAATGCAAAAACATGCTGACCAGGGAAGGATAACACCGAAAGCTCGGCCAAGCCTGCTCCGTCACCCAGTAAACATCAGCACACTGGCTGTTGGTTGACTTCCAGGGGGGTTGCAGCTGGGTGCCTAGGTAAGGACTACAGACAGGGACACTAACGCTCTCCAGTGGGATGTGGGGTTTCACTGCTGCCATCGTGGTCAGGGACCGGACTGAAATAAACCAGTCCCACGGCGCAATGGCCATGTGCACCATGAGGCTGCCCTGCGTCAGCTCCGGCAGACCTCCGGCTGCATGGGGTTCAGTCCACGCGTCTGCCCACTGGTCGTCCTGTAAAATCAGGGGGTGTTTTGATCCAATCCTCTTGTTTCACTGATAAGGAACTAAATAATAGGCTCAGGAGTACAAAACTAGAGGTCTCCTAGCAATGTGAAATCATCAGTATATTTATTTGTGATAGTGTTTAATTGGCTTAATGTAATGGCTCTTAATATTTCTGCTTTTAGATTGCTTTATCAAAAGGTTAAAAATCCGCACTCATCAGTGCATTAGCCACATTGGCTCCTGAGCTCTTGAAACATGGCTAATCCAAATGGAGATATTCTAGAAGACTTGGCATGAAAAAAATAATGTATATATATCTTCTTGGTATTTTGTATTGATTATAACTTTACAGAGTCATTTTTGATATACTGGGTTAGAGAAAAGATATTAAAATGAGTTTTACTTGTTCAGTTTTCCTTGTCTAAAGTGGCTGCTAGAATATTTTGCATTATGCATGCTGCTCACCCATTTCATTTCTCTCAGATGGGACTGATTTAGGGGGAAGCACTTAACTGCACCAGCAGAGAGCTACAGGAAGGCTCTGCTCCTGGGCTGGCCAGTGGCAAGAGCAAAGGAGGAGAGAACGAGAGGGCATTTGTTCCGACTCTTTACCTGGTCCATAACGGAGAGACTTGCAAGCCGCCACATAATACAAGAAAACCTAAAACATTATTTGAAAGCAATTAAACAGTTAAGTTAACCCTTATAGGCGTGTGCATGTGTAAAATTTACCTTGTTAAAGAACATTGGGAACTGTGACAACATGACAACCATCACCTTCCCTTTTAGAGAAAAGCAGCTCTTTTCCTAGAAAAATCATAACCCAAAACAACTGACGTCCTAGAAATCAGTTCGGCTTTTAAAGAGACATCTGCCCATTGTATATACCCATACCAGATAGATAGATAGATAGATAGATAGGAGACCAGGGAGAAAGAGAGATGAATGCTAGACACATAGATGGATGGATGGAGGATCCAGTCCATCTTATAAATGGGAACAGGGCACAGTAGTTATTTGAATTGAAAGTTACATGTTGGCACGAAACCTTTTTTTTAACTTAAAACAGCCGGCAAGCCACCATCTTACCCCAGACAACCAAATGCCCCTCTTTGCAAAAAGAAATTCTTTATAGTGCAAAAATTTACTGCATTTATCTTGGGGGGGAAATGATGCTTTCTGTCTCAATCAATAGGTTAATTTACAATGTACTAATATATCCACTATGGCCACAGAATTAGAAGAATGAACAATGTTTTGATGATCACAGATGCACTCTCTTTTTAATGAGAGAAGCTCCATTATTTCTCAATTTAATGTTTCAATAAGACTTGCAGGTGTCAGAATGGAGATAGTGTCCACCCGTGGAACAATGTATTTCCGGTGTGATTGATGGGGCATGCACACAAGACATCAGTGAGAAGTCTGCTCTTCTCATGGGGATGCGGCATCATGGAGTGCTGAGAAATCAAGACTGCTGGGCGCCAGCTGGGAAGGATGCCACAACTTGGCATTTAATTTAGCTGTTTTCTGCATTTTTTTCCTTAGGAATAACTCTATCAACGCTCTAGCAAGAAAAGATTCTGGAAGCGTCTACAATAACCATCACATATAATTGCCATTTGGAGAGGTAACTGAGGAGTGAACCGCACCGCTGTGACCACACAGACAGCAAACCCTCCCTCTCTCCGCTCTGTCCCCTGTTCTCCAGGACCACGGCCCTACTGCCACACCAAACGCTGTGTGTCGGCTGGGATGACCGTGCTTCCTTGCCTATGTCTTCTATTTCTGTAGGATGTGGGTTCATGCTATGCCTCAGCCACAGGATCTCCTGTGCTTCCGGAGATAGAATTGTTGCCTATTTGCAATTTCAGACAACAACCCAAGGCATAGTATCATTCCCCCAACAAATGTGTTCAATTTAGTCTCATTTTAATCTCCCCTTTCCTCCCCATCCACCTCTTCAAGTCCAAATACCACCAGCAAAAAATCGCCTTTGGCTGAACGCTGTGCAATGCTTGGTCCTTCACTGTGAGCTAGAAAATCTTCCTGAAAAGGGTATTTCAAAAGTTTTTAGCCCAAAGCAGAAAGGACTTCCTGTGCTAACTCCAGCTGCTCCCATGGAACACGGCTGTTTACAAGGTAACAGACAAACGTAGAGCACATTCCTAAGGCAGGCAGGCTGCACAGTGAGCAGACACGGATCTCACCAGGACATGCATCTCACCATTCACCGGATGGAAGCCATGATCCACGGAGCTCCCCGTGTAAAAGTCTCCCAGACCCCACAGAGCATGCACTGGAGTTTTAAATGGGAAAAACAGTGTTTCTCCTGGGAGGACTCAGCCCTCCGCACAGCCAGAGCCAGCAAGGCTGTGCAGGCCAGCCTGGGAGCTGGGAGCTGGGAGCTGGGAGCAGTCATTGCTATCCTATGGGGTCCGCGGTCTAACACCGAAAGATGGGGTGCAGCACCTTTCCTGTCTTCTGCTCTTATAACGAGGCAAGAAGGAACACATGCCGCTGTCATGAAACCGCTTCTTCAAAAGAGAATCACAGCATTAACCAAGGCTCAGCCAAGCCCGGGAAGGGCTGTGGTCTGGCAGGAAAACAAGCCGAAGGAACAGCAGCCTCGAACGTGCTTTGCATTTTTCTCACTTCGGACCCCCTCTTTTCAGGACTTTGATAAATCCACTAAATCATCTTCTCCATGACCAGAAACCTCTGAACCATAGAATTTTCTAAAACACTAACTTCTGTTTTGGAAGAAATCCCAATATCATGTTTTTGAAAAGGAACTTGTCTTAGGGTATCAGACGCTCCCCTCCCTGCCGAGGACACTGAAAGGCAGCATCTTGCCGCCGGCCGAGTGTTTTTGTGCTGACTCGCCCTCCCAGAGAGCGGCAGTTCCTTTGGGGGCTGGCAGACCCGACTGCCAAGCCCTCGGTGCCCCGCGGCCACAGCGAAGCCCAGCCAAGGAAGGGAAAGCGGTTACCTGAGGAAGAACAGCTGCCGGGGCTTCTTCCCAGCTCGCCTGGCACAGCCCGGGCAGCACAGGCGGTGCGGGGCCGGCTCCTCCCGGACGCGGGCGGGGCGCGCTCTCCCTCCCGCGGCCGTGACGATGCTGTCAGCTGCCACCCGCCCGCGCCTGCTCGCCAGCCCGCGTGCCCGCCGCGTCCCCCACCCCGCACACCTGCGCCCGGGAGCGCCCGCACCCCGGGCACCCCGTCTGCCCGCGCACCTGCGCCCCCGTGCGCCCCTCACCCTCACACCTGCGCCCCGGGGCACCCCGCGTTGCCCGCGCACCTACGCCCCCATGAACCCCCGTCCCACACCCGCACACCTGCGCCCCCGTGCGGCCCGAGCCGCCCCCAGCCCCGCGCCCCCGGGCGCCCCGCGCACCCCGCGCACCTGCGCTCCCGTGCGGCCCGAGCCGCCCCCAGCCCCGCGCACCTGCGCCGCCCAGCAGCGTGGCCCGGCGCGGTCACGGCCGCCCGGAGTCCCCGGCCTTCCTCGCCTCCCGCGCCGGCGGTGACTCCCGCTGCCCAGCGCCCGCTGCAGCGGGTCCCGCGGAAATGGCGCCGGCGCGCCCCGGGAGCCTCGGGGCGCCACCTACCGCCTGCTCCCGGCACAGACGGCGGCGCTGGCTCTGAGATTCGGGCTCTAAACCCTGTCACGGGCGGCGTGGTCGTCCGCGGCGGCGGCGGCGGCGAGCAGCCCCGACCACGGAGCTCTCACCGCGCCCAGACGCTGCGCCCGGAGCCGCTCACTCCGAAGGCGGGGCCGTGCCCGCCGGCGCGGTGCGGGAGCGCGTCCTTCCGCTTCATCCTGGTCCCCAGGCTGTCACCTTCCACCGACTGTTCGCACTGTCGTGCCAAGGAAACCGCGGGCTTATCTTCTGACACTGATAAACAGTTTTGTCAGAGGCGTACTGGTTGAAAACAGGTGAATCAGCAGGAAATAAGATTTATGACTATTTCGTGCTGGCATTTAAAAACGTGTGACGTTGACCCATCCATGTCAACTCTGGGTTTGGGGACGATTTCTTCTTCCTGTTAGGACTTACTTTTTTAATATAACCAAATTTTCAAAGAGTTGAATATTAATATTTTCTTGATTTTAAATTAGATTTAGCTGCTAGAAGCCCGTTTACCTGTTCTGAAACTGGGTTTGGATTTCTGTATCATTTCAAACAGCATTGTCCTTAGATGTCCATTTCCAAAGTAAATGCCTACCCTGTTAGTCACAGGAAATATTTGTCTTTAAAATCTTACTCAAGCATTAGAATTACAATCAAGTACGTGTGTTTTGCTCACTCGTTCAGCCTAATACTGACCTTGAAACTGTGGCCATTTGGAATACAGAAAATAGACACCACTTTGGCCAGTCTTTCAAGGCCACCAGCAGGAAATCAACCTCAATTGCACTGGTTCCGGAGAGCAGGGTAGACACTCTCTGCCCGTCTCCTCTTCACGTCAGGCGGAGGGTGGCCCTTGGCAAAGCTGTCCCGGAGCAGGGTTCCTGTAGCTCATGGGCGGTTCTGGGCTCTGTCTGCCGCCATCTCTGGAACCTGAAAGGACCCTCCAGACTAACAAATCAGGATGTTGTCTTCCATGACAACCCAAAATGTAGCTTATCTAGTTAAAGGAAAAGATCAAGGTTGAGGACTAAACAGAGAAGGGTGAAAATATTTAAACAGCTAAAACTACTGAAGGCAAAAAAGCCAGTTCAAGAATGCGGTGAAGGCCTGGAAGGCGGGTCGGAGCAGGGCGGAGGGTCCATGGGGAAAAGGGGGCCATCGGTAATACTCTCGACAATAAAGACGATCTTTTTTTAAAGCCAGTTCTAGCCCAGATCTAGTAGGGAGCAAGACTGGAGCTGGTGAAGGGTGCCGGTTGGATTCTGCAAATTCTGCATTGCAGAAGAATCCGCATTTTGCCACATATAATTACTATTTGTTCTAGAAAGTGGAGCATGGGCCCCAGAGGCCCCATTTAAACAGAAGCAATACACTTAAAATGGTCTCTCTGTCACCTCCCACCCCAAGCCCTGACTTTTCATCAGCCAGGGGAGCAGATTGCTCCCAGCACCTCGGTCTCAGATTGAACAGGATCCCTAGGGTCTCACCTGTTGGAGATGAGAAGCTCTAAGCCAGTGTCCTTCAAACTCTACTCTGTCCCAGAATCACCTGGAGGGCTTGTTGAACACGGCCAGCTGGGCCTCCACCCACATTCTCTTATTCAGCAGGGCTGCAGCTGGGTCCCAAACTGGGTAAAGCTGACCAGTCCCATGGCCGAGCTACGCTGCTTGGAGCAGGCTCACACCGAGCTTGGCCACCTGTAGTGCGGAGACTGATAACTAGTTGTAATGTACTCAGGGAGGAGAAATACAACATCCTTCTATTTTCTAAAGCAAATTGAAACTGGCTCCGTCAATCCAGCACCCCTCATTTGGAGAAAGTCGTGTCCTTCTCATAGGCCCATACATGTCCCGAGGCCTTTTGGGGAGACCATAAAAGGGGCGTCTTCAGCTGCGTTCTCACTTTGCTCTCATGACCTAAGATTCTGAACGCTTATACGACTTGGCCTCTATGCACATCAGAAACAGGACCCCATCAGGGTGGGCACAATCACCCTCCTTTCTCCCCTCAAGACGGTGTACTGTCTGAGGGTCAGAGGACCCTTTGTGCAAAGAACTTTCTTGGAACAGCTGCAGCCCCATCCAGGTTCCCAGCTGGGTTCCTGGGCACCTGCTGAACCCCAGCCCCACTCTCGCCCTCTGCTGGTCACCTTTGAATATTACACAACTGCATCACCAAGCTTCAGCCCTGCTCCTCCCGAGGCCAGCATGGTCCATGTGAGAACTGGCAGCTTCATTTGGAACCTGGTTCCACAGATTCAGAGAGTAGCAAATACCACCAGGGAGAGACAGAGCCAACTTCTAACCTCAAGGGCAGGAGCTGAGAGATAAGGCAGGAGAGACCCTAGTCGGCTGCTCAGCAAGCGGACATACAATGAAAAGACATCTGTTAGACTGTCCTTAGGTCTCACAGCCTCCCTTGCATCCTCCTTTCTCTGAGGCAGTAGCTTGGGGAACCAGCATTTCAGCCTCACCTGGAGAGTTGTTAGAAATGCACATGTCAACCTCCCCCTGGGGGGACCCAGCAATCTGTGTTTTAGCCAACAATCTAGGGGATGCTAATGATTCATAGTAGAGCTTAAAACCCACTGCAGTAAAGTTTGTTTTTGAAAATATGTTTTTTAACAAATGCATGTCAACATATCTCCTTGAAAATCAGCGCAAGGCTATTTCATCCTGATAGAATGTGCTCAAGGGAGTGGTGAAGCCCGTCTAGATTTTATCACCTGCGGGTGGGGTGCAGGACTGTCGTGCCCAGAGACACCCCTTCCCCAGCAATCATGTCAGCAGTCAGGACGTCCACTTGCAGGACTGGCCATGACCCTCTTCTTCTCGCCTCTACCTTCTCCCCCACGGAGTCACTCCAGTCCAATTCCTGGGGGCACCAGACCCTCCAAACTAAGATCTCGACCCTGAAATGCTAGCTTTTCTCATCTACCTGGAGAAAGGAAAGCCCAGGCCCAAGAATAGAAGGGCTTCCCACAAAATGGAAGAAGAAAATGCTCTTTTTCATTGGCTTCTCTTCACGAGGCCCCAGAATGAGGGCTTGGAAGTCTGGCCAGCTCCTCAGAGATGCCCCACGTGGAGAGCCGGCACCGGGCCAGGCGCCACAGGCCCTCCGGAGGGCAGTTCCCAGGACAGGTGCCCGCCGAGAGCCTCCACCAGCAGCGTGCCAGCCACTGGCATGAGGCACAGCCCCGAGCAAGCCTGGTGTGTAGTGTGCCGGCACCCACTCCAGCAGCCAAGAGTGGCATCGATTTGACGTGAATGAAGCATCTCAGGCAAGTCTTCTGGCAGAGAACCAAGGTGATTGTTATTCCACAGATTCTGCATTTTTATTATCCCCTCAGGTCTGTCCACTGCACGACCTACCTTTACGTCTAAGGAGGTTCTGCATCTCTTCCCCCCCCCCCCATGCATGTGTACCCCAGGAAGGACGGGGCACCATGCTCTCTACTTGATTCCCATCTTTTTGGATTACTGGCGCTACACAGATGCTAAAGCTGACATCTGTTTTCTGTAATCTGAGACATTTTTGATCCCTGTCTTATCTAAGGTTGACCTAGTTCTCTTGCTCTGCTCCATTAAAATATTGACAGACACAGACAGATGCTCATATCCACAGAATGCAACTCCAGAAGCTCTCACGCCCTGCACATCCCTGGGCCTGCCCACTCCCCCAGCATCCTGTGGGGCCCTGCCTCGCATCAAGTCCCTCCGCGCCCGCCGAGCGCTCTGCGGAAGACCCTGCCGCCCTGCGCCCTGCCCGAAAGCTGGCTCTTCTGCGGTCCTCACTTCTCCTGTCGCAGCTAATGCAGACTTTCCTCTCCTGCCCTCAGCTCCTTGAGCTCAGTGCATTGACCCTCCTGAGACCTGACTTCCTCTCTGGCTGCAAAGCCCTGCCTCTGGGATTGTGCCCCCGCTGCCTCTGTCTCGCCGTCTTTGGAGTCATCTTCCATCCTTTGGGTCTGGAGGTCTTCTCCACCTGCGTAGACTGCCTCCTGAAATACTCACGCCAGGTCTCTCTTTCGTTCCCACGGTCTCCTTGTGCCCAGCGCCGTTTTCTCTCTTCCACACTGATGACCACATCCTGTTCCCTTCCTCGTGACAGACTGCAGGACAGCCAGACATCCCCAGCCACACACCCCCAGCAAGCCAGGGTCTCCCCCGTGCTGTCACCTTCCTCCCCCACCATCACTTCTCCCTTTCCTATCTGCATCATAGGTAGCAAACACAGGTTCCCTGTCTCTCTCACTCCTGTCCTCCGAGGAATAAAAATATTGAAGGCACAGCATCAGCTGGTGCCAGCTTCTGAGCGGCCTCCCCTGGTCCGCGCCGGTGACCTCCAGGCTGCACCCCAAGCAGAGCTGGTGCCAGCTTCTGAGCGGCCTCCCTTGGTCCGTGCAGGTGACCTCCAGGCTGCACC